ATCTCTCCCTATCCCAGTCTGCTGTCCCCATATGCTTCAAGATGGCCACCATTGTCCCTGTACCCAAGAAAGCAAAGGTAACTGAACTAAATGACTATCGCCCCGTAGCACTCACTTCTGTCATCATGAAGTGCTTTGAGAGACTAGTCAAGGATCATATCACCTCTACCTTACCTGTCACCCTAGACCCACTTCAATTTGCTTACTGCCCCAATAGATCCACAGACGATGCAATCGCCATCACACTGCCCTATCACATCTGGACAAGAGGAATACCTATGTAAGAATGCTGTTCATTGACTATAGCTCAGCATTCAACACCATAGTACCCTCCAAGCTCATCATTAAGCTCGAGGCCCTGGGTCAGAACCCCGCCCTGTGCAACTGGGTCCTGGACTTCCTGACGGGCCGCCCCCAGGTGGTGAAGGTAGGAAACAACACCTCCACTTCGCTGATCCTCAACACTGCGTGCTAAGCCCCCTCCTGTACTCCCTGTTCACCCATGACTGTGTGGCCAAGCACGCCTCCAACTCAATCATCAAGTTTGCAGACGACACAGCAGTAGTAGGCTTGATTACCAACAGTGACGAGACAGCCTACAGGGAGGAGGTGAGGGCTCTGGGAGTGTGGTACCAGGAAAATAACCTCTCACTCAACGTCAACAAAACAAAGGAGATTATTGTGGACTTCAGGAAACAGCAGAGGGAGCACCCCCCTATCCACATCGACGGGACCACAGTGGAGAAGGTGAAAAACGTCAAGTTCCTCGGCGTACACATCACTGACAAACTGAAATGGTCCACCCACACAGACAGTGTGGTGAAGAAGGCGCAACAGCGCCGCTTCAACTTCATGAGGCTGAGGAAATTTGGCTTGGCACCTACAACCCTCACAAACTTTTACAGATGCACAATTGAGAGCATCCTGTCGGGCTGTTTCACCGCCTGGTACGGCAACTGCACCGCCAGCAACCGTAGGGCTCTCCAGAGGGTGGTGCGGTCTGCCCAACGCATCCCCGGGGGCAAACTACCAGCCCTCCAGGACACCTACAGCACCTGATGTCACAGGACATAAAGATCATAAAGGACAACAACCACCCGATCCACTGCCTGTTCACCCCGCTATCATCCAGAAGGCGAAGTCAGTACAGGTGCATCCAAGCTGGGACAGAGAGACTGAAAAACTGCTTCTACAGTGAGGGAAAAAAGTATTTGATCCCCTGCTGATTTTGTACGTTTGCCCACTGACAAAGAAAGGATCAGTCTGTAATTTTAATGGTAGGTTTATTTGAACAGTGAGAGACAGAATAACAACAAAAAAATCCAGAGAAACGCATGTTAAAAATGTTATAAATTGATTTTGCATTTTAATGAGGGAAATAAGTATTTGAACCCCTCTCAATCAGAAAGATTTCTGGCTCCCAGGTGTCTTTTATACAGGTAACGAGCTGAGATTAGGAGCACACTCTTAAAGGGAGTGCTCCTAATCTCAGCTTGTTACCTGTATAAAAGACACCTGTCCACAGAAGCAATCAATCAATCAGATTCCAAACTCTCCACCATGGCCAAGACCAAAGAGCTCTCCAAGGATGTCAGGGACAAGATTGTAGACCTACACAAGGCTGGAATGGGCTACCATCGCCAAGCAGCTTGGTGAGAAGGTGACAACAGTTGGTGCGATTTATTCGCAAATGGAAGAAACACAAAATAACTGTCAATCTCCCTCAGCCTGGGGCTCCATGCAAGATCTCAACTCGTGGAGTTGCAATGATCATGAGAACGGTGAGGAATCAGCCCAGAACTACACGGGAGGATCTTGTCAATGATCTCAAGGCAGCTGGGACCATAGTCACCAAGAAAACTATTGGTAACACACTACGCCGTGAAGGACTGAAATCCTGCAGTGCCCGCAAGGTCCCCCTGTTCAAGAAACCACATATACAGGCCCATCTGAAGTTTGCCAATGAACATCTGAATGATTCAGAGGAGAACTGGGTGAAAGTGTTGTGGTCAGATGAGACCAAAATCGAGTTCTTTGGCATCAACTCAACTCACCGTGTTTGGAGGAGGAGGAATGCTGCCTATGACCCCAAGAACACCATCCCCACCGTCAAACATGGAGGTGGAAACATTATGCTTTGGGGGTGTTTTTCTGCTAAGGGGACAGGACAACTTCACCGCATCAAAGGGACGATGGACGGGCCATGTACCGTCAAATCTTGTGTGAGAACCTCCTTCCCTCAGCCAGGGCATTGAAAATGGGTCGTGGATGGGTATTCCAGCATGACAATGACCCAAAACACATGGCCAAGGCAACAAAGGAGTGGCTCAAGAAGAAGCACATTAAGGTCCTGGAGTGGCCTAGCCAGTCTCCAGACCTTAATCCCATAGAAAATCTGTGGAGGGAGCTGAAGGTTCGAGTTGCCAAACGTCAGGCTCGAAACCTTAATGACTTGGAGAAGATCTGCAAAGAGGAGTGGGACAAAATCCCTCCTGAGATGTGTGCAAACCTGGTGGCCAACTACAAGAAACATCTGACCTCTGTGATTGCCAACAAGGGTTTTGCCACCAAGTACTAAGTCATGTTTTGCAGAGGGGTCAAATACTTATTTCCCTCATTAAAATGCAAATCAATTTATAACATTTTTGAAATGTGTTTTTCTGGATTTTTTTGTTGTTATTCTGTCTCTCACTGTTCAAATAAACCTACAATTAAAATTATAGACTGATCATGTCTTTGTCAGTGGGCAAACGTTCAAAATCAGCAGGGGATCAAATACTTTTTTCCCTCACTGTATCTCAAGGCCATCAGACTGTTAAATAGCCATCAATAGCACATTAGCGGCTGCTGCCTATATACATAGATTACAAATCACTGGCCATTTTAATAAATGGAACACTAGTCACTTTAATAATGTTAACATATTTTGCATTACTCATCTCATGTATATACTGTGTTCTATACTATTCTACTGTATCTTAGTCTATGCCGCTCTGACATTGCTCGTCCATATATTTATTTATATAATCTTAATTCCATTGCTTTACTTAGATTTGTGTGTATTGGGTATATGTTGTGAACTTGTTAGATATACTGCACTGTCAGAGCTAGAAACAAGCATTTCACTACACCCGCAATAACATCCGCTAAACAGGTGTATGTGACCAATAACGTTTTGTTTGATTGGGCCTATGGGCACAAACCCACCGTCGCTGGACCAGACAGGACTGGCAAAAAGTGCTCTTCACTGACGAGTCGCAGTTTTGTCTCACCAGGGGTGATGGTCGGATTTGCGTCGAAGGTATGAGCATTACACCGAGGCCTGTACTCTGGAACGGGATCGATTTGGAGGTGGAGGGTCCGTCATGGTCTGGGGCGGTGTGTCACAGCATCATCGGACAGAGCTTGTTGTCATTGCAGGCAATCTCAACGCTGTGCGTTACAGGGAAGACATCCTCCTCCCTCATGTGGTACCCTTCCTGCAGGCTCATCCTGACATGACCCTCCAGCATGACAATGCCACCAGCCATACTGCTCGTTCTGTGCGTGATTTCCTGCAAGACAGGAATGTCAGTGTTCTGCCATGGGCAGCGATTAGCCAGGATCTCAATCCCATTGAGCACGTCTGGGACCTGTTGGATCGGAGGGTGAGGGCTAGGGCCATTCCCCCCAGAAATGTCCGGGAACTTGCAGGTGCCTTGGTGGAAGAGTGGGGTAACATCTCACAGCAAGAACTGGCAAATCTGGTGCAGTCCATGAGGAGGAGATGCACTGCAGTACTTAATGCAGCTGGTGGCCACACCAGATACTGCCTGTTACTTTTGATTTTGACCCCCCTCCCCCCTTTGTTCAGGGACACATTATTCAATTTCTGTTAGTCACATGTCTGTGGAACTTTTTCAGTTTTTGTCTCAGTTGTTGAATCTTATGGTCATACAAATATTTACACGTTAAGTTTGCTGAAAATAAACACAGTTGACAGTGAGAGGACGTTTCTGTGCACAAGCACTGTTCATGACACAAACTGTTCACACCCCTCTTGTTGGTGGAAAGAATTTTGCAGGTTTAAAGTTTATTTCCTGCAATTCTACACATTTTGCAGTTTTAAAGCTAATTTTCTAGCAATTCTATACATTTTGCCATGACTAATGTGTATTCATGTAATATGAGTGACTAAAAAATTACAACAATATCTATGGGCTAAAAAACCTACATTAAAAAAAACGTTAGCTGACATGGGCTAGTATAAATAGCTCTAAGGTATGCAATGACTAACATGACAAGAGGAATGATGATGATGCACTACCCAATTTCGAAATTGCAACCTTGTGCATTGTAATATTACAACTTTCAAGAGTAATTTTAAAGCCGGACAAAACAAAGGCAACACATAGAAGGCTATGCGAAGGAACTACGTACAGACATGTTTTTTTTTTTTTTTTTTACTTAAGCAGAGAAATAAGATTTTTTTTTTTTGGGGGGGGGGTATACTCAGGTCCTTCGACTCCCCATCACAGAAGACAGCGAACTGCAGACATTATTTTGCCGTGATTTAGTTGCATTCCACTTATACTCGTTTTGTTCACAGGGCAGCAGGCTACCATCAACATAATGAGACCGACCCCGCTGTCACCACTTGACATTATAAAATGTTGCAAGGGCAGATGGGAAATGGAGTCTCGTGCTGTTGCAAGGGCAGATGGGAAATGGAGTCTCGTGCTGGAGGCATCTATGCTTAGACAACATCTGTATATTCACTATTGATGTGATAGTCTACATTTCAGGTATAATCAAATAATAATGCATATATGAAAAGATAGCTACATTGCAGTGTTGTTTTAAAAGACTATAGGAATTCATGTTCCTTCAAGTTAAAAAGTACGGATCGGATACATTGTAATTCCATATTATTCCCATAACTGGTAACAATGTACGTTTTTTTTTTTATGTCACTTTTGTTTTGGCTATCACTCGCCATTTTATCGTGACACAAATGTAACGATGTGTTCCGGTTACTTCCGCGGCCTTAACCAATAGAATCAAGAGGCACTCTCAGTCTCCAGCTTGTCAAGGCTTGTTGAGTAGCTAGCTAGTAAAGTAGCTAGCTAAAGAAGCATCAAAGAAACTGAGCACAATCTGATTTCCGAAATGAGTTTTCTCGCTGGGGTTTCATCGACGGTTTGGTTGAAATAACCCTTTCGGGTCGGGAGACCCGGCGTTGTTCGTGAGACTGGGACTGACACGGAAGAATATGGATATTTGTGTTGCAATACGAAAGAAGACACATCACCACCGACTATTGTTTGTTAATTAGTTAGCTAGCTAGCTAACCTGATGGAGATCCTCCCTGTCCTTTGGATTATAAACCTGATTATAGACTGGGAAATCACACTAGTAGTGAACACGAGGAGCTTCGTGTGTGATCCAGAGTATATGGACATAGCTACTAGCAAGCTAGCTAGGTACACATCTACTGTACATATGTCAATAGTGGCAAATGGGTCAACAATCTCCACCAACTGGTTCACTTGTTAGGCCAGCTAGCTAATTAATTATCCTGAGCTGCCAGGGGTAACATGCCTTGTCATTGTTTACATATCAAGTAACCTGTTAGTTGTTGACAGTCTCGCTATCCCTTACGAAAAAAGATTGCAGTATAACTGCAGTTCGAGTGCAATATAACTGCAGTATTCTGCAAATACTGCGTCCAAAATAAATAAAAAACAGTTAACTGCAGTAATTTTGAAGTGTAACTGCAGTTACTGCATTTCAAGAACTGCAATCTTTTTTTGTATCATATGGGTTAATGTGACAAGTTGTTGTCAATTAACAGTTTTGACAACTAACTTGACAGCTAAACTCATCAACTGTAGTGGAGACAGCGATTTGTCAACTCTGAACTCTTGGTGCTTGTCCATGAGGCCACCCCATGCAGGTTCAGAAAGAGGAAATGCATTGGATTATTTGATTTTTCGGGGGCGTCATTGAGAGCACAGGAACACCTACTTGTGTACAGACCTGTCAAAGATTAAATGGGAGAAAAACTGTTTTGCTCGCCACAGGGTTCTCCTGGCATTGCCGTGATGCTGAGAGCCCTACTCCTCACAAGCCTTCTTAGCTGGGCCAGTGGCCAAGAAGGTCCGACCATGTTACCTGAAGAAAAGACCAAAATCAGGTGCGATAACAACCGTCTATGATCACACACTCCAGTATTACCCAATGCCCACCTCTACTGAGTGGCAAAGTCCATACTGTGAAGATGAAGGGACTAAATCATTAAACACACCATCACTATATCTATCCGTCCTCTTGTCTGTTAGAAATGACTTGGTTATGTTGATTTTGTATATTTCTTTCTGTTACAGGGACCAGATTGTTGAGATGTTTGATCATGCCTATGGCAGCTATATGGTAAGTCTGTGTCTGACCACATAGTTGCTACTTTCAACTACACTGAGCAAAGTTGGATGTTTCAACCCGTAGCTATTGCTGTCCATCTGTTTTACTGACCATGTCGCAGGCCAGGGCATGCTGCCATTTACTGTTTCAGTGTTGTTGATATTAGGGCTGTGACGATACCAGTATTGCAATATTTTTTCCATGGCAAAATGAAAACACAAAGCAGACTAAACTCTTTGGTCCTTTAAAAATATTTTGTATGTTAAATATTGTGTGCTATAGCTTGGGAAATAAATGAATGTGACTCTGGATGATGACATAATGATGTTTGTCCTGAGTGGCGCAGTGGTCTAAGGCACTGCATCGCAGTGCTAACTGTGCCACTAGAGATCCTGGTTCGAATCCAGGCTCTGTCGCAGCCGGCCGCGACCGGGAGACTCATGGGCGGCGCACAATTGGCCCAGCGTCGTCTAGGGTAGGGGAGGGAATGGCCGGCAGGGATGTAGCTCAGTTGATAGAGCATGGCGTTTGCAACGCCAGGGTTGTGGGTTCGATTCCCACGGGGGGCCAGTATAAAAAAAAAATATATGTAATCACTAACTGTAAGTCGCTCTGGATAAGAGCGTCTGCTAAATGACTAAAATGTAAATGTAAATGTTTCCAACATTAGGGCTGTTTTCCTAAAGAAGTGAAATCCGCTTCGTGTTTTGTTTCCTTGCCAAAATCTAACAAATATCGCAATACTGGTATCGTCCCGGCCCTAGTTGATATTGTATTATTGCTCAAATGGCCTCTCTGACTTGACTGTGTGCCATACACTTGGCCTATACTTCTAAGTTCAAACCAGTGGAGGCTGCTGAGGGGAGGACGGCTCATAATAATGGCTGGTATGGAGTCAATGGAATGGTATCAAACAAGTGGTTTCCATTGGTTGATACCATTCCATTGACTGTATTCCAGCCGTTACTATGAGCCGTCCTCACCTCAGCATCCTCCACTGGTTCAAACGTATTTAAACAAATGTTCCTCCTAATGAGTATGTGTACCATACCCTGACTGTGCCCCGCACCCTGATTCTGCCACAGAAATATGCGTACCCAGCGGACGAGCTGATGCCCCTGAGCTGCAGGGGGAGGGTGCGTGGCCTGGAGCCCAACAGGGGAGACATCGATGACTCTCTGGGGAAGTGAGTACAACTGCACGGAAAGCCTTCTCACAACATGGGGTTTCTCTGAGTTTAGCCTTTGTGGTGTTTTTAGCTGTTTATTGGCTTACTTTTGTGCTCAAAGGGGTCTCTTGATGTATAGAGAGAGAGCCACTCGGCCAACTCAGTCACACAATGGATTCATTATGCGTCTGTTATGTCATCCCCTGTACTGATGGAGGGATGGGGGCTAGGTAGAGAAAGATGTCCCATGTTTTTCAAGTTGTAAGGCTCATACGAAAAGGAAATTAATTGAGGGGTGTTGTGAAATCATGTGGGAAAACCTGTTCTACTCTGTTTGATTTAGCCTATATTATGAAAATACAAGGCAGGAACACTTCTCTTAAGAAGGGAATCTGACCCCTCTCTGATTCTTCCATAAGACCTTGTATAACACACTTAACCTGGAAACGCAATAGATGATGAGACTACATGGTGAAGCTGACATGGAGCAGGATCCAGTTCCTCTACTGTGCACTGCAGTAGGCCATCCTCCTGACCTGGGTCATATTTATTAAGCACCAAATGGAAGAAAATGACTGAAACTGGGAGGGAATACCTGAACTAGTCCAGTTTTTATGTTTTTGTTGCAAAACATTTTGCTATGGTGTGCCGTAATGAATATAGCCCTGTTTTCTCTCCTAGGTTCTCCCTCACACTGATCGACACCCTGGATACCCTAGTGGTGAGTGTCTCATCCTGTCTGCCTGGCTATAATTTTTGCGTCAGCTATAGTACCACAAATGTCTATAGAGAAATCAATGAGCAAATGGGATCCATTGTCCCGACAACCCCTCAGAGCCACCCACATACAGTCAATGGCAGTATAGATTAAATGGATAGTCCTCCTTTCTTATGGTTCTGGAAACCTTAGCAAAAATAATTGAAATGTAGTAATTCACAGGAATTATTCATATAGCTATGTGTTTTCAGGTAATATTTTTTTTGCCTAAGTATTGAAACACTAATTTATACGGTCTTTTCCCCTATTAACGAATGTTTGTCTTGTGCATGTGTCCAGGTGTTGAACAAGCTTGATGAATTTGAGGATGCAGTGAGGAGGACATTGAAGGATGTCAGGCTGGACAATGATGTGGTGGTGTCTGTGTTTGAGACCAACATCCGAGTCCTGGGGTACTAACCTATACAATTCATTGTCTCACTACTACACAGAACTTCTCCAAGATTGTGTATGATACTGGTTCAAATGTCTTATTGACTTTATGATAAAATAACTATATGACTTCATAATATAGGGCTGTCAGTGTTTTATATTGAGATTAATGGGACATTGTGTGGGCATTGCCACATGTTCACCACAAGCTCACCACACCATCATCTTGCTGTCCCTACAGGGGCCTGCTGGGGGCGCATGTGATGGCGGACATGCTCCGTCAGCGGGGGGAGAGAATGCAGTGGTATGGAGATGAGCTGCTCCACATGGCCAAGGAGCTGGGCCACAGACTGCTGCCTGCCTTCAACACCACCAGTGGCCTTCCCTACCCCAGGGTAACACACCTCACTCAGTCTCCACGCTTCTGGTTTTCTCTGTACCCCTGGGTGAAAAGCCTTGTTTATCAGAACTTCCACAATGTCACATGAATGGAAAAGTAACAAGATTCAGGTCTGAATGGACTGTCCAGTCGAATATGAATAGAGGATTAAAAGTGATTCAAGATAGCTTTGTAGTCTTATTATTATCTGACAATATGCATATAGTACATAAAATATATTTACTTCTTGTCTGTTTGTTCCCAGGTAAACCTGAGGTATGGGGTCCTTAACCCCCTGTCACGCACAGGCACTGAGTCGGACACCTGTACAGCCTGTGCAGGGACCATGATTCTGGAATTTGCTGCTCTCAGTCGGCTGTCTGGGGAGGCTGTGTTCGAGGTACATTAGTAATTCCAGTAATAATCGATAGTTTTGTATTTATTGGCCGGTGTGTATGAAGATAATATCCCTGTGTTTCTGTGTCCCACAGGAGCATGCTAGGAAAGCATTGGACGTCCTGTGGGAGAAGAGACAGAGGGGAAGTGACCTAGTGGGCACCGTCATCAATATCCACAATGGAGACTGGGTCCGCAGGGGTGAGCTAGAGCTCCACTGTCACACACTCAACCACGCAGAAAACAGACACTCACCTACACCTTCACACATGGTCACCCACTCTCTCATTTAAAGTCACATTTTAGCAGTAGGAACAAACATTTTATCACCTTACATCATGTGATGTCGCATCGTCCCACTCAGTTCCTTTATATACCATTAGTCACTTCCAATACTACTAGTTTGGTTTGGTTTTGAATACGCGTCTCAGCCTGGTTGTTATTTCCATTATCTCAGTCAGGTCCTATATTAAAAGTACCCCCCCCCCCCCCCCCCCCCCTTCCTCTGTGTATCTTCAGACAGTGGTGTGGGTGCTGGCATTGACTCCTACTACGAGTACCTGATGAAGGCCTACATTCTACTGGGCGACAACGTTTACCTGGAGAGGTTCAACACTGTGAGACCCACTCTCTACTGTACTATCACCATCTGCAGATGTATTGCTCTATGCTTATAGATAACACTCCAATTTCACAGACACCATTTACATTTGACATTCAAATGCTACCTGCCATCCAGATTGCAGAACTAGACAACAAAAAATATTCAGATTAACTGTGGTCAGATAGTGATCAGATGAAAGTAATCAGATAAAACAAGATGCACATTATGATGAAGTGTAAACAGGGTCTCAGTCAAATCACTGATCTAACCCCCCATATCAAAACGCATCATGCATAATGTTGGTGTCTTTAGTGACCGCAGCTGTCCGGTGTGTCTCCTACAGCATTACAGCGCCATCATGAAGTACATCAGCCAGCCTCCGCTGCTACTCAACGTGCACATGCACAACCCCACAGTGAGCGTCCGCAGCTGGATGGACTCCCTACTCGCCTTCTTCCCCGGCCTGCAGGTGAGTCCCATAACACAGCCTCTATCATCGCCATTTGTCAGGGTTATGGTTAGCCCCTCTGCCTCTAACAATATGACGTAGGATACATCCCAAATGGCACCCTATTCCCTATACAGTGAACTACTTTTTTTTATGGGCCCATATGATGCTATTTGGAATGCAAGTATGACATAAATGAATGATGAGACCCTCTGCTTGTATCATGACATCATCATGACCACATCATCTCTATCCACTACAGCAGAAGACCGTTCTCTGGTTTCTAGGTTGAGTTTCTATCGTTTTAATAATAATAATATGCCATTTAGCAGACGCTTTTATCCAAAGCGACTTACAGTCATGTGTGCATACATTTTTACGTATGGGTGGTCCCGGGGATCGAACCCACTACCCTGGCGTTACAAGCGCCCCATGCTCTACCAATTGAGCTACAAAGGACCACAAGGGGGTTTTCAAGGGGGTTGTATGATCAAGTATACTCTCTGAAAGGGAATCGTTCATAGTAAAGACTTCCGTATCAACCACTTCGCTACAGGTTCTGAGAGGAGACCTGAAACCAGCCATAGAGACCCATGAGATGCTCTACCAAGTCACCAAGCAACACAAGTTTCTCCCCGAGGTAAGAAAACGTGACATTTGAAATTTGAGTCAAGAGGATATCTGCTCTCAGCTCTGCTTGACTGTGGTATTCCTGACGTTGCAGGCTTTCACCACAGAGTTCAGAGTTCACTGGGGTCAACACCCTCTGAGGCCAGAGTTTGCAGAAAGCACCTACTACCTCTACAAGGTAATGCAGTTTGGTTTGAGTTCCCACTGTGAAAAGCCTGAGTAAACTGATTGGGAATGGGATAAACCATGTTTTCCCCTTCCACAGGCCACAGGCGACCCCTACTACCTCAGGGTGGGCCAGTCCATAGTGGAGAAGCTCAACGCTCATGCCAGGGTGCCTTGTGGGTTTGCAGCCATGCAGGATGTCCGCACAGGGACCCACGAGGACAGGTAGGGGAACGCAGCGAAACATATGGGTTCAAATCTGAAACATCAGGTCATCTCCACTGATTCCTTCTCACTCCAGCCTTCAACTGTGCTGTTTCCAATATTACTAATGGAAGTGTTGGTCTTGAGAAAATTGAGCTATTTTAGCAAGAGAGCTCAAATGACAGCGTTATGTGACACATTATTTGTTCTGTTCAAGTGATTTCAAACATTCCCTTTCTCTGTAGGATGGACTCGTTCTTCCTAGCGGAAATGTTTAAGTACCTGTACCTTCTGTTCTCTGAGAAGAACCAGCTTCACTTCGACATCGACGACTACATCTTCACCACCGAGGCCCACCTGTTGCCTGTCTCCCTGTCCACTTCACAGCCCCCCTGTCGGGGCAACAACACGGTGAGGCTCAGTCAGTTACCAACAGTTATGTTATGGTCAAAGGAGCTGAAACTGATTTGCCATATGGTGTCTATTTGAACCAGCTGCCCAGTTATGAACAGGTGTTATGTTATGGTCAGAAGAACTGAAACTGATCCGCCATTTTGTGTCTATACGTTCCAGGAAGCACCCACTGCCGTGGAGGAGGACCTGTTCACCTACTCGTGTCCCAGCACCCAGACCCTGTTCCCCAACAACCCCTCCTTTGCCAAGACCATCAGGGACAGCTACAAGTACCTGACTGGGGTGGGCCGGGCTTTCCACGCTTCACCTGACAGGTGTGTCTGTGTCCAAATGGGTGTTCATGTGTTGTTGTAAATAGCTGCATATTCACTAAGATTGATTGTTTCCATCTTCCTTCGGTTACATCCTTTGTGTTAACCCCGCTAGGTGACCCTGACCTAGCTACTGTATCTCTGAGGGGATTTGATTAAGCTGGCCCAGTTCACCGGCTGGGTGGAGTTTGCACCGTGTGATAAGTGATTGCATTTGTTTTGAAACCCGGCTGCCTCCCAGGTGTGAGCCGGGTGGCCCGCTCAAAGCTGATGGCGGCTCAAAACAAAGTGACATATGTCAAGCACGTAGAGCAGGGTTGGGGAGTAATGGATTAGTTGTAATCTGTTTACATGTAACGCATTGCAAGAAACGGTAACTGTAATCCATTATGTTACCAGCAGAAATATTGTAATCAGATTACAGATACCTTTGAAAAACTAAATGACTACTTCTAGGATAACTTTTAAATTCAAAGGATGTTTGCCTTTGAAAAAAGGTGAAAGTTTAAGTTTGTTCCACCTGAGCAAGTCTGACCACAAGTCAGAGACCACAATGATGACACACCAAATGTGTTTGATGGATTGCGGGATAAGAGCAGGAATAGGCTTTTGTAGGCTACAGTCCAAGCTATGTCTTCCAATGGTGCAACTGCTGTCGGCATCCAAAGATTATCCAACTTGAATAAACTCTTGGAGGTAAGGACGACAGCAGTGGTGTAGCCTACGGGCGATATGGATATCACTTATTATTGATATCTACTGTACATAGCGCATTGATGTGATTCACATGGCTGCTCTCTCATTTAGCTATTTGCGCCTTACGGATGGATTGTGGTTGTTGTGGATGGCTGTTCACAAATGTATAGGCCTATGTGTATTTGAACACATATAATGGTTGAATTGAATGAGTTTAAGCTACCTACAGTGGGGAAATAACGTATTTAGTCAGCCACCAATTGTGCAAGTTCTCCCACTTAAAAATATGAGAGAGGCCTGTAATTTTCATCATAGGTACACGTCAACTATGACAGACAAATTGAGGGAAAAAAATCCAGAAAATCACATTGTAGGATTTTTAATGAATTTATCTGCAAATTATGGTGGAAAATAAGTATTTGGTCACCTACAAACAAGCAGGATTTCTGGCTCTCACAGACCTGTAACTTCTTCTTTAAGAGGCTCCTCTGTCCTCCACTCGTTACCTGTATTAATGGCACCTGTTTGAACTTGTTATCAGTATAAAATACACCTGTCCACAACCTCAAACAGTCACACTCCAAACTCCACTATGGCCAAGACCAAAGAGCTGTCAAAGGACACTAGAAACAAAATTGTAGACCTGCACCAGGCTGGGAAGACTGAATCTGCAATAGGTAAGCAGCTTGGTTTGAAGAAATCAACTGTGGGAGCAATTATTAGGAAATGGAAGACATACAAGACCACTGATAATCTCCCTCGATCTGGGGCTCCACGCAAGATCTCACCCCGTGGGGTCAAAATGATCACAAGAACGGTGAGCAAAAATCCCAGAACCACACGGGGGGACCTAGTGAATGACCTGCAGAGAGCTGGGACCAAAGTAACAAAGCCTACCATCAGTAACACACTACGCCGCCAGGGACTCAAATCCTGCAGTGCCAGACAAATCCTGCAGTGCTCAAACCCTGCTTAAGCCAGTACATGTCCAGGCCCGTCTGAAGTTTGCTAGAGTGCATTTGGATGATCCAGAAGAGAATTGGGAGAATGTCATATGGTCAGATGAAACCAAAATATAACTTTTTGGTAAAAACTCAACTCGTCGTGTTTGGAGGACAAAGAATGCTGAGTTGCATCCAAAGAACACCATACCTACTGTGAAGCATGGGGGTGGAAACATCATGCTTTGGGGCTGTTTTTCTGCAAAGGGACCAGGACGACTGATCCGTGTAATGAAAGAATGAATGGGGCCATGTATCGTGAGATTTTGAGTGAAAACCTTCTTCCATCAGCAAGAGCATTGAAGATGAAACGTGGCTGGGTCTTTCAGCATGACAATGATCCCAAACACACCGCCCGGGCAACGAAGGAGTGGCTTCGTAAGAAGCATTTCAAGGTCCTGGAGTGGCCTAGCCAGTCTCCAGATCTCAACCCCATAGAAAATCTTTGGAGGGAGTTGAAAGTCTGTGTTGCCCAGTGACAGCCCCAAAACATCACTGCTCTAGAGGAGATCTACATGGAGGAATGGGCCAAAATACCAGCAACAGTGTGTGAAAACCTTGTGAAGACTTACAGAAAACGTTTGACCTGTGTCATTGCCAACAACGGGTATATAACAAAGTATTGAGAAACTTTTTTGTTATTGACCAAATACTTATTTTCCACCATAATTTGCAAATAAATTCATTAAAAATCCTACAATGTGATTTTCTGGATTTTTTTTCCTCATTTTGTCTGTCATAGTTGACGTGTACCTATGATGAAAATTACAGGCCTCTCTCATCTTTTTAAGTGGGAGAACTTGCACAATTGGTGGCTGACTAAATACTTTTTTTCCCCACTGTATCAATCATTGTTTTTGCAACCAGTGGACAGCCAGTGAAAAATGCACTCTTGCAACAGCTTCATAGTGCGGTTCGCAGCCTATTGAATAAAAGTTTCCGGATTTCCTCCGTTCTAAACTCCTCCTTGGTATATTGTGCTCCAGTCCATAGTGTCAAAAACGTGTTTAATTTAAGAAGGGTGGGACTTTAATTGCTCAATCTAATTCCTGCTGTTAAAAAGAAAAAACATCCATAGACCTAATGGGCATGTGCTCAAACTCACACACTTTTGATAGATTTAAACGGCTGCAAATGATCGAGATATGAAAGTGTCACCCCAAAAAAAGTCAACAAAAGGCCTATAGCAAATGCCGCATATGGCATTACATTTTCACATGCAAATAGCACTTTCCTGTAGTGCGCAAAGCATGCCATTCCATGAGAGCAGCATTTTTTTCCTTCAACTCTAAGCAATGAGCCCAATCAATCCTCCATGACAACAAAATCATAAACAACAGAGTAGGCTAATAAATCCTTAGTAGTTGGGTTATTCTCAGGTAAAACAATTTGGGAAATCTATATTTCCAAGTCCTGTTTTTGAAGATCAAGGGATATTAAATTGATTGGAATGACTGGAAATCTGACAGACTTTTGTTTTTAATGTAAAGAGATAATATGATTAGGCTATCTGTAGTAGAAAGCAATGGGTTAGAAGAAGCCTACATAACCAACACATATAGTCAAATGAAACATAATTAATGGCCAGCTATTTAAACTCTTTATATATGTCCTTCACGCGCACTTCACAGAGGAGGCGTTCCCTAACGGAAATATGCAAATACATTCTACAACGCGCCAATAGTATCTCGCTAGCTCGTGCTTGGCTTTGCCTGCCCACCTTACTTGTTCTGCCCACTATGCTTCATTTTCTCCCACTATAAACGACACAGATTAACTATCTTGGGTTAGTTATAAATATCTTTGGCGACGTCATACCAGCCAAATGTCTCCCTTCTTGAACGGCAATAGCTCAGATACACAGTAATGACCCCGGGAATCGATAGAACATCGCTCAGAGATTAATAAAAATAAAATAATGTTCAAAATGGGTGAGTCTTTCCTTTTTAAAGGTAAAGTAATCTAAGAGTAACTGAAAGTAATCAGATTACGTTAGAGTTTGGGTAATCCAAAAGTTACGTTACTGATGACAATTTTGGACAGGTAACTAGTAACTAACGGATTACATTTAGAAAGTAACCTATCCAACCCTAACATGGAGTAATGACTAAGGATTCCAAGTTTTCACATGCTCCCCTGATAAAAACATGTGCTTTATCTGCCTTCTTGAGGAAAACTAGTTTGAAAATTGTAACACATATATACATTTTGTGTGTTTCTGAGCATTGCACCATGCTGCCTTGTTGACGATATGACCAGGCGGCGGAGATTACTATTCGATTTGAGAAGGGCCTCCCTCACCGCTTTCGCCCGGGGTGTACCCGAGTTCAGCTTAATCAAACTCCCTATCTGATGATGAATGTGTGTGTTTGCAGGGGCATCGAGCTGCCGCTTCACGACCACGGTATGGAGCCAGTGGAGTTTCTGAGGAGCATGGGCATCTCCCTCACCCCACTGAATGAGGCTGTGGCTGGGGCAACAGAGACACATGGGGTAAGATGATTGAGCAGCTTTTTTATCTATAGCACTCTATTGCCTCTAGGTGTGCATCCCAAATGACACCCTTTTCCCTATATAGTGCACTACTTGTGACCAGAGCCCTATGGGCCATGGTCAGAAGTAGTGCACTATATAGGGAATAGGGTGCAATTTGGGATGTGGCCTAGCACTCTATTTTCTCTATTGCTTAGCAGGGCAACATTACCCTGTCTCTCTCATGCTTCTGTGTAATTAATGTCACCAATGTCTTTCTTTTAAGGAGGCACATAAAGGTGTTTACAGGGTGAAACTGGTGGCAGAGGTGACCCAGACCCCAGAGGAGGAAGTAGTACCCCTCATCGTTCAGCTCATATCCCCCCCATTTCTGGGTAGAACAGTCCTGACTGCTGGACCAGCCAAGTTTGGAATGGACCTTATCAAGCAGGAGCATGGGGTGAGCTTTCTTGAATCTTGCATTTATTTGTATTTGCTTTCTATGTCACTCAGAATATTGATAAAAGACGGGCATGCACCTCTTAGTCCCCTTAAATGTATCACCCAAAGACTCAAATGAAATATTTACCCATGTCAGTATTAGTTTTTGATATTTCTGGAGCTCTTTGGACTTCTGCATTTGTCACTACTGTATGGAGTATTTACAGGAATCTCTCCTCCCTTCTCTCACTCTCACACACACACACCCTGTTCCTCTCCCAGGTGAAGGGCAGCATCGTGAAGACCTCTCCCTACACAGCATGTGGGCCCATAGAGAATGCTGAGGAGCTGAGTGGGCACATTGCCCTGGCACTGCGTGGCGACTGCATGTTTGCTGCCAAGGCCCGCAGGCTACAGGAGGCTGGGGCTATCGGAGTCATCTTCATAGGTGAGGGAAAAAGACAAACACACACCAATTCTGCCTCTCTCTCTCTCATATTACACCCACTCACAGACCATAATATCAGGACACAGCCTGTTACTCTGCTGTAAGAGTCAGGAGCTTAGGGAAAGAGCTTAGTGGGGCCTAACCTAGTTTGAGAAGGCCATATTGGTCTGCATTGTTACAGTGCACTACTTACTTGTAGTGAAGAACCCAAATGGTAGATATTGGGGTACCATCACTAATTTTTGTGAGTTTACATTAGTTCTGTGTTTTACCCCTCTAAGATCAGTTAGTCCTCAAACGGGCTTTGATTGATATGGCATTCCTCTTTGATTCATGTCACTCACAAGCCTTCCCTACAAAACTAAATTTCCCTTGTTTCCCCGTCCCTCCTAGACCACCGGGAGGGGAGTAACAGTGCAGCGACGCCCCTGTTCCAGATGGTGGGAGACGGAGGGTCCACGGCTGACATCACCATCCCTCTGGTTTTCCTGTTCAGCCAGGAGGGGGCGCTGCTCACCTCTGCTTTGGAGGATCACAGCAACGTAGATGTACTGATGCTGCCCAAAGAGCGACAGCTAGGTAAGAGAGCAGGTAAGAGAGGGGGTCTGTGCAAAGCATGTGGTCTAGCGGTCAGTCACATATAATGCTCCCTGCCGGAGACCAGGGTTCAATTACCGCATCTATACGTCCTGCTGTTCTCCTACTTGCCTGTCCCCCCGTCTGTTGCCAACAGTCTAAATAAAGCATAAAATGTAATCAACATTTTAAAACAATATTTAAAAAGAGGTGGCCTGGCTATGGGGGTTCATTATGAGGGGGAAGAGTTCTAAATTTAGCAAAGGTCAAACAGCCCAAAAGCCTCACTCACGTTTAATTCTGAACTTTAGTATCGGTTGTTTGGGTTCAATGAAAAAAAAAAAACATTCTAACTTAAATGCTAGATGTTTGAGGTGTAACAGATTACATGTTTGACACTTACACTGTCTCTCCCTCTGTCCCCCTGTCTTCCTTTCTCTCTCTGTCTCCCTCCTGATCACTACTCTCCAGACAAAGCAGACAAGCCCCTGGGGAAGATGAACATCAAGTTCCGCCTGGCAGAAGAGGGGGAGCTAGAGGAGGGGGAGGCCAGAGGCCCCACCCTGAAGTTTGTCCTGGAGAAGGGAGAGGTGGTGTTGGAGGAAGAGGAGTACAGACAGCAAGGAGACAGCTGCTTAACAGCTGGTGGCGATCATGTACCATGTTCTTACGGACAAACTGCTGCCTCGCCTCCCTTCCACAGCCCCAACGACCCCAATACAGACCCCTGATCTCAGGACAGTCAGGTTCCTCAACCCCCTCCCACTGACCACAGGGCCTGGGCTCCCCAGCACTGATCCCTGGTCAGTCTAGAGGCATGTTGCTGTGCCAAGAGAGAGCCCTCACTGCCTTGCCACACGCTCTGGACTGGACTGAACTGATCGTTTTAACCAAGAGGGGAGCTTAGCGTGACAGTCAATCCCACTGACTCACTCACTCTCCCTTCTCGTATAGTTAATAATTATTGGAACTGCAGTAGGTATTAATGTATAGGAAGGGATGGACATTGGGCAGGGGTAGTGCTACACAAACATAGCTTGTTAGTCTTACCTTGCTACTGTAGCCTCATCACCAGTTGTATTGTGGTGATGACATAGATTTAGTCAGATGCTTGTAAGAGAGAATTGATGATGTGCACATTTCAGAGAAATAGCTGAGGGGATATTAGGTTGATGTAGGGCACCTTTGTCTGAAGCCTTGTGTTTCAGTCTGTACTGTAGGCTAGATTGTGTTGAGCTGCAGCAATGACGTGGGGATTTCTTTACTGTCCCCTGTACCAAGATGGTGTCCTGTCAATAGTGATGTGTGTTCATTTACCCATTGTGGCTAGTAGTGCTGTTTTGAAGGGATGCGTTATCACTCACAAGAATCACAAACTATAATGCTTTTAGACAAAGGATAAGGGGCCAGTTTGGGTGAACTAATGACTTCAGTCTTATTTTGTACTGGTAAATCAGGGGAATTTAAGAGTTAAAAATACTTGAATGTGTGTGTGATCATTACTACACTACCGAATCAAAACCTTGTATCGACCTTAGTGATGCGTATTTCATTTTTCAAATGTCAGTTGGTTATTATTAAAGGTAGACTCAGCGATGCACGAAGTAAACATAATATCTGGACGATTTCCGTCACAACTAAGACCGTTTAAGCGCCAAACTAAACTTCTCTGCTGTTTTGGTCCCGTAGCTATCATATTGTAGCAGCGAGAAGCGCACCCGTGCACATATGCAGATACTGTGTGAGAAGAAAGTCTTGCATTGTACTTAATATCTGTAGACCTGCTCGTTGCAACTTTAAAACACTGAGTCTACCTTTTTAAGTTAACTCCACTGCCTCTTCTTTCTCGGATGGTTTTAGCTCTAGGTTGGTACTCTTCCTGTCTTCAACACTGCCCCTGTGCCACCAGAGTCTTATAATGCCATGCACTTTGGCACATGGGCATCTTCCTACTAGAGCTAATGTCATGGTGGGGATACACCCAGGGACTGCTTCCCAAGCAGCTCACAGCACACCAAACACACGGTCTGTCTGTGTTTTGTCTGTTTGGTGTCTTCTCATTGTAAACAGCCTTTGTATGATTGTTTGTGTGTGGACAGTGTAAGAACATCAGACTGTTCCATTGTTTTCTCTTCTTTTTCTCTTTCCATTCATCTTTCTTTTCGCAGTATGAGATTACCTGGGCATGAGTGTGTGTGTGTGTGTACCAAGAACAGTTAAGATGCAGCAGCCATAATGTTTCTATTTGTATGATCAGATGCAATCACTCACATCTGTGTATTTTATCATTCATTCCTGAGTCTCAATTTGATCTGCCAGATGTTGAATAATTTTTGCATGAGTTTTATGTGTAATATATAATTTTAAGGTGTAAAAGTGGGTTATATTCCAATTACAGTTAACATTAGTGCAGTAGTCCTGTCATTTTTGCTGCTCACTTAATTTGAAATCTTATTCCAACATGGCCACCTATATACTTGTGTATTTCAGTCAACCTGTATACATCTATGACCATTACTGTCCACTCAGAGAGGAAAGGGCCATGAGACATTAAACATAAGTTGTCTTTTTAGGTATTTATTCTGCAAATATTATTTGCCTTTTGGAAATGTTGATGATAGGAATAGCTGAAGCTCCCAAAAGTGCCAAAGTGATTATTGCTGATAACACAGTATCAGATTCTAATGTACTTTGTCTTTTGAGAAGATTATTTGAGAGCTGAAGCAACCTGATCTTGTCAATAAATTTAAGAATTATGATCTCTGTTTTTTGTGACTCATTTGTGTAGTCACTTTCCACTGGCTATAGGGTGTATGCACCAATTTGTAAGTCGCTCTGGATAAGAGCGTCTGCTAAATGACGTAAATGTAAATGTAAATGATTGTCATTTCTGTTCATGGCAACAACCACCACTAATTGTTTGTGGGGATTCAACCACACTAGGACATGGATTTGTGGATGAAAGTCACCAAATTTGAAGCCCTCTACTGAGACCCCCAGGTGACCATGATACACAACAATTTGTGTCCCAAATCACACGCTATCCTCTATTTTGTGCTCTACTTTTACCAAGGCTCCTAAGGCTCTGATCAACAGTAGTGCACTAGGCTATTAGGGTGCCATTTGGGATGCAAGCAATATCATCTCACCTTTCCATATGCAGAACAAAAACACAGTTTACAGATTAAGGTTTACTCTAACCATAGATGTTGCTTTCAGGAGTAAATTACAAAACGGCGTGCTTCGTAGCTTGAGACAGTTCTCAATGAGCCAGGATCCAGGTCGATTTTTCATTAAGTTCAGTAGCCTACTTGTTTTACTGCTTTATTGTGAGGTTTGGAGACTGATAAAATCCTTTCCTTTCAGGGGAGAGTGGTGACAAACCACAGGCTTATAGCCAGGCCCAGTATACAGACCTGGTCACACCAAAGGACACTGGACATAAGGTACAAAAATTCCCTCGTGTTATCTTTGATTTATTACCAACCTATTAGTGTTAGGATTATATAACAATTGCTTTATTTGGTATGCAACATTATTTCCTATCTAAATGACTGCACCAAAAAAGAGGAGTATGGTATTTGTATTGCCTCTGATCATATTTGAAACCTTGTAAACCAGCCTGGTCTCATAGACTAGACGTAACATAGTAAATGTCCCAGACACTCAAATTAGTATGATATGTTATGTTTGGTATGATTACATACACTGGGGAAAAAAAGTATTTAGTCAGCCACCAATTGTGCAAGTTCTCCCACTTAAAAAGATGAGAGAGGCCTGTAATTTTCATCATAGGTACACATCAACTATGACAGACAAATTGAGAAAAGAAAATCCAGAAAATCACATGGTAGGATTTTTAATGAATTTATTTGCAGATTATGGTGGAAAATAAGTATTTGGTCACCTACAAGCCAAGACCAAAGAGCTGTCAAAGGACACCAGAAACAAAATTGTAGACCTGCACCAGGCTGGGAAGACAATCTGCAATAGGTAAGCAGCTTGGTTTGAAGAAATCAACTGTGGGAGCAATTATTAGGAAATGGAAGACATACAAGACCACTGATAATCTCCCTCGATCTGGGGCTCCACACAAGATCTCACCCCGTGGGATCAAAATGATCACAAGAACGGTGAGCAAAAATCCCAGAACCACACGGGGGGACCTAGTGAATGACCTGCAGAGAGCTGGGACCAAAGTAACAAAGCCTACCATCAGTAACACACTACGCCGCCAGGGACTCAAATCTTGCAGTGCGAGACGTGTCCCCCTGCTTAAGCCAGTACATGTCCAGGCCCGTCTGAAGTTTGCTAGAGTGCATTTGGATGATCCAGAAGAGGATTGGGAGAATGTCATATGGTCAGATGAAACCAAAATATAACTTTTTGGTAAAAACTCAACTCGTCGTGTTTGGAGGACAAAGAATGCTGAGTTGCATCCAAAGAACACCATACCTACTGTGAAGCATGGAGGTGGAAACATCATGCTTTGGGGCTGTTTTTCTGCAAAGGGACCAGGACGACTGATCCGTGTAAAGGAAAGAATGAATGGGGCCATGTATCGTGAGATTTTGAGTGAAAACCTCCTTCCATCAGCAAGGGCATTGAAGATGAAACGTGGCTGGGTCTTTCAGCATGACAATGATCCCAAACACACCGCCCGGGCAACGAAGGAGTGGCTTCGTAAGAAGCATTTCAAGGTCCTGGAGTGGCCTAGCCAGTCTCCAGATCTCAACCCCATAGAAAATCTTTGGAGGGAGTTGAAAGTCCGTGTTGCCCAGCGACAGCCCCAAAACATCACTGCTCTAGAGGAGATCTGCATGGAGGAATGGGCCAAAATACCAGCAACAGTGTGTGAAAACCTTGTGAAGACTTACAGAAAACGTTTGACCTGTGTCATTGCCAACAAAGGGTATATAACAAAGTATTGAGAAACTTTTGTTATTGACCAAATACTTATTTTCCGCCATAATTTGCAAATAAATTCATTAAAAATCCTACAATGTGATTTTCTGGATTTTTTTCTCATTTTGTCTGTCATAGTTGACGTGTACCTATGATGAAAATTACAGGCCTCTCTCATCTTTTTAAGTGGGAGAACTTGCACAATTGGTGGCTGACTAAATACTTTTTTTCCCCACTGTAAGACAGAAGGTTACTTAAGGCAAAAACAAAAGTGGGGTGGTTGGATGGATGGGTGGGCGTAAACGCGAACATCTAGCAACCCATGGTTGGATGGGTGGGCGTATAACGTGAACGTCTAGCAACCCAAAGGTTGCGTGTTCGAATCTCATCATGGACAACTTCAGCGTTTTAGAAAATTAGGAACTTTGCAAATACTTACAACTTTTTAGCTACTTTGCAACTACTTAGTATGTTAGCTAACATTAACCCTAACCTTAACCTCTAACTCCTAGCCTAGCTAACGTTAGTCACAAAAAATTGCAATTCGTAACATATCATACAAATTAATACATACCATTCAAAACGTAACATATATTAATTGGAGTGTCCCGGATTTATGTTTACTATGTTACGTCTGCCCCTGGGTTCAGGTTATGTAAACTCTGGTGATGGTTTTACTAATACATCAGTTATAACATCTGTATTGCAGCTTATGTTCCCTACACTGGTCAGCAGGCTGCGCCCTCTCCCACGATCACAGATGTCCCCCCAGACCCACTAATTCTCCTTGCCCAGTCTGGGCCACTCCAAACCCCTCACCTCAAAG